GCCGCCGCCCCCCGCGCCCGCCCTGGCCATCGCCGAGAGGGACATGTACGTCGTGCCGCGGCTCAGCCTCACCGGTGAGGGAATTCCCGGGATTTCGGGGGCCTCGGGAAGCGCTCGGCCGCGTGATTCCGGGTGGGAGATGCCGGTTTTTTGGCTCGGCAGGGAAAGGGAAGAGGAGACGCTCGTGCGACGAGGAAGAGGACGGGCAACGCAAGGCCAAGAGGCAGAAGCAGGAGGGAGGAAGCTCGGAGGTACTGGGAATTCCAGGCCTGGGAAGGGTGGGATGGGCATATTCCTGAACTGGAGAAACCAGGGGGGTTTGTGAGCCCTTTCCCTCATTTTTTGTGGTTCCTTTTCCTTGTTTTTCTGCTGCCTCATCCTCATCTTTTGTGGCTCCTCTTCCTCACTTTCCTTGTCTCCTCTTCCTCACTTTTCTTGTCTCCTCTTCCTCAGTTTCCTTGTCTCCTCTTCCTCACTTTTCTTGTCTCCTCTTCCTCAATTTTGTGGCCCCTTTTTCTCATTTTTTTGGCTCCTTTCCTTAAGACTTTTTCTGCCCCTTTTCCCTCAGTTTTGTGGCTCCTTTTTCTCTTTTTTGGGCTCGTCTTTCACATTTTTTGTGGCTTCTTTTCCTGATTTTTTATGACTCCTCTTCCACATTTTTTCATCCCTCTTTTCCCTCAGTTTTGCGGCCCCTTTTCCTCACTTATGGTTGCTCCTTTTTCCTGCCTCATTTCCCTCATTTTCCCATCTCTTTTCCCTTATTTTTATGTTCCATTTCCCTCAGCTTTCTGCCTCTTTCCCTCACTTTTTACCGCTCCTTTTTCATGCCTCGTTCCCTCATTTTCCAGTCTCTTCTCCCTTATTTCTGTCTCATTTCCCAGCACTTTCTGCCTCCTTTTCCTCATTTTTTCCCCGCCTCCTTTCCACCAGCTCCATGGCTTCTTTCCCTCAGTTTTCCCACCTCTTTTCCCTCATTTTTTGTCCCTTTCCCCCCTCAGCCCCCACCGGACGACGGCATTTACTGGCAGGTGAACCTGGAGCGTTTCCACCAACACTTCCGTGACCAGGCTCTGGTCAGCGCTGTTGGCAGCCGTATGGACCAGGTCTGGCTCTCCCACCCCCATTCCCGCTCTGGAATCTGGCTTTTCCCTGCCCTGAATCCCATTTTTCCCCCGTGCAGACCAGCAGCGAGGTGGTGCGGACGATGCTTCGCATGAGCGAGGTGACCACGGCCTCGGGCGCGTCCCACACCCAGCCCCTCTCCTCCAACGAGGTGGGTCCTTGGGAGCCCCTGGAATGCTGGGAATCCCTTGGAATGCCTTTGATATTCCCTGCTTTTTTTCCCCCCATGTAGATATTCCGGGCTCTTCCTGCTGGGTACAACATTGGGAAGCAGGTGCTGGACCAGTACCTGGCGCTCCTGGCTGATGATCCGGTGGGTGCTCCTGGGTTCTCCAGGGCTTTTCCAGCCTCTGGAATTCCATGCTTCCATGGAATTCGCTCTGTCTGTCTGAAGGGAAAGCAGGTTTTACTGAGAGTTAATGGTTTTTAACAGATACTGACCAATTTTGAAGTTTTTGTACAGATATTGGAGTTATTTAGATATTAAAGTTACTTAAAAGATATCGGAGATATTTAACAAATACTGAAGACCTTGAAGTGATATCAAAGATATTGAACAGATATTGAGGTTATTTATCAGATATTGAAAATATTTAAAAGATACTGGAGATATTTAACAGATACTGAAGTTATTTAACAAATACTGAAAGCATTGAACAGATATAAAAGTTATTAAAGGGATATTGAGGTTATTTACCAGATATTAAAGTTACTTAAAAGATATCGGAGGTATTTAACAGATACTGAAGTTATTTAAGAAATCCTGAAGGCATTGAACAGATATCAAAGATACTGAACAGATATTGAGGTTATTTATCAGACATTAAAGTTATTTAAAAAATATTGGAGATATTTAACAGATATTGAAGTTATTTACAAATCCTGAAGGCAATGAACAGATATTGAGATTATTTACCAGATATTAAAGTTACTTAAACAATACTAGGGATATTTAACAAATCCTGAAGTTATTTAACAAATCCTGAAGGCATTGAACAGATATCAAAGATATTTAATACCCAAAGGTATTTAACAGTCACTGAAGATATTTATAAGATATTAAAGGGATTTAGAAGCCTCTGGAAGTGTCACTATTTGTTGAAGTCATAGATTTTTTTTTTCTTTTCCCAAAATCTCCATCTTTTTCTTCCCACTCCAGATTTTAAGGAAAACAACCCAACCATGTTTTCCTTCTTTGGGGATGTCCTGACCTCTCCCCTGTTGTCTCTCCCTGCAGCTGGAATTCGTGGGGAAGTCGGGGGACAGTGGAGGGGGCACCTACACCGTCAGTATCCTTTGGAGAGGGGGGAACACACTTGGTGTTCCAGGCCTGAAGCTCTGGAATTTTCCAAGCTCTGGAATTTTCTCCTTGACCTCACCCCCCTGCAGACCTGCACAAGGCCCTGGCGTCTCTGGCCACGGCCACGCTGGAGTCCATCGTGGAGGAGAGGTGACAAGGGGACCTGGGATACTTCCAGGCTCTTCCAGAGCCCCTTCCAGAGTCCCACATTCCCTCCTCATCCCGCTCTTCCCGCGCAGGTTCGGCTCCCGCTGCGCCCGGATCTTCCGCCTGCTCCTGCGCAAGAAGCACCTGGAGCAGAAGCAGGTGGAGGATTTTGCCATGATCCCGGCCAAGGAGGCCAAGGACATGCTCTACAGGATGCTCTCCGAGAACCTGGTGTCCCTGCAGGTGAGGGAATGCCGGGATCCGGGAGATTCCCCTGGGTGGAATTGCTTGTCCAGGGGTTTCCAGGCACTTCCAGGTGATCCTGGCTGGGAGCTGGCACCAGGGACACCTCTGGGGAGGGGGGGATCCCACCAGGGACAGCTCTGGGGAGGGAGACCCCCTTAGCTTGGTCCCTGCCCCTCTCCTTCCCACAGGAGATTCCCAAGACTCCGGACCACGCTCCATCCCGCACCTTCTACCTGTACACGGTGAACGTGGCGGCTGCTGCCCGGATGCTGCTGCACCGCTGCTACAAGGTGAGTGCCCAGCACCTGAACATCGGCCATTCCAGCCTATCCAAGCGGGAATTCCCAGGGAATCCAGGTGGCACAGCCCCCTCCTTCCCAGTGCCACCATCCCTGTGTCCCTTCATGGGGTTCCCTGGTGTCCCCCAACTCACCTGGGCTGGGGGTCTCACCTGGCTCTGTATCCTCAGAGCTCCTGCTCCAGTATCCAAGTGTCCAGGTGTCCCAGTCCCCTCCTTCCCAGTGCCACCATCCCCATGTCCCCTCATTGGGTTTTTGTGAGTGTGGGGTCCCTTGGTGTCCCCCAACACCCCTGGGCTGGGGGGCTCACCTGACTCTGTATCCCCAGAGCTCCTGCTCCAATATCCAGGTTTCCAGGTGTCCCAAAGGTGGCAGTGCCACCATCCCCGTGTCCCCTCATGGGGTCCCTTGGTGTCTGCCAACACCCCTGGGTTGGGGGGCTCACCTGGCTCTGTATCCCCAGAGCTCCTGCTCCAATATCCAGGTGTCCAGGTGTCCCAGAGGTGGCAGTGCCCCCATCCCTGTGTCCCCCCAGTGCCCCCCAACACCCCCGTTTGCCCCCAGAGCGCCGCCAACCTGATGGAGCGCCGGCAGCACGAGACGCGGGAGAACAAGTGAGCGCCGTGCCGGGAGCGGGGGCTGAGACACCAAAGAGGGGGGTCTGGAGCCACCAGCGCCTCGTCCCCGTGTCCCTGTCCCCCGGCAGGAGGCTCCTGGAGAAGTCCCAGCGGGTGGAAGCCATCCTGGCCTCCATGCAGGCCACGGGCGCCGAGGAGGAGCAGCTGAGGGAGGTGGAGGAGATGCTGACGGGGCCCGAGAGGCAGCAGCTGGAGAACCTCAAACGCAACGTCAACAAGTGAGGGGACAGGAAGGGGATGGGGAGGGGATGGGGAGGGGACAGGGATGGGGATGGTGACAGGGAGGGGGCCAGGATTGGGGTCAGGGACCCCCCAGTGGCTGCCCACTGCTGTCTGTCCCCAGGATCGACGCCAGCGAGAACCAGGTGGACGAGACCATCTTTGTGCTGGAGTCGTTCATCGAGAGCACCGTGAAGAGACCCTGAGGGAACGGGGCAGGGACAGGGATGGGGACAGGGACAGGAGTGGGGAAAGGGTCAGGAGTGGGGACAGGGACAGGAGTGGGGACAGGGACTGGCCGCCTCCACCTGTGGTGCTTGTGCTGCTGCGGGGAATAAAGCAACAGTTGCTGATGGCACCTGAGTGTCAACGGGGGACAGGGACACAGAGGACATGGGGACAGCTGTCACCCCTCAGTTTGGCTGTTCATGGATCCCCCCTCAGTTTGGGTGTTTAATGATCACCCCTCAATTTGGGTGTTCATTGATCACTCCTCAATTTGGGTGTTTATCCCCCCTTAATTTGGGAGACCCCCTGGCAGGACCGAGGGACCCCCCTGTCCAATCCCCACACCCCCCCCAAAGCTGTAATTTATGGCAGTGCCATTAATTAAAGATATTTATGGAGCGGTGGGTGCGATGTGGGGGGAAGGGGGATGCTCGGGGGGGGTCTTTTGGGGACCCCCGGGATGGGACACCCGTGTTTGAGGGGGATATTTTGGGGGCACGTGACCTCCGGGACGGGACACACGTGACTGGGGGACACACGTGCGCTCGCCCCGCCCACCACGCTCCGCTTCTGGTCTTGCGCCCAATCACAGCGCGCTCCCTTCGTGACGTACAACAAGGGGCGGGGCAGCCCCGGGGAGGGGGCGGGGCGCGCGCGGTTGCCGGGGCAACGGCGCTTGCTGTGGCCACGGCCCTGTGGGGTTGTGGCCATCCCAGAACCGGCCCCTCATCACCTCCAGAGGCTCTCCCGGGTCCTACCGGGACCCCGCGCCCCGCTCGGGGGTCACCGGTGCTTCCCGCGGCCCCCCCGGCGTCCACCCCCGGGCCCGCTGTTGTCCCCTCACCCGGTGCGGCCCGGCCCTGACCCCGCCGCGCGCCCGCCTTGTGACGTCATCACACCGCGCCCTCCGCTCCAAGATGGCGGCGGCCGGGAGGGGCTGAGCCGGGCCCAGGCACGGAACGGGATCGGGAACGGGAGCGGGATCGGGGCTGGGAGCGGGATCGGGAACGGGAGCGGGGCTCGGACTGGGAGCGGGATCTGGGCTGGGGCTGGGAGCGGGATTGGGAACGGGACAAGGGTGGGGCCGGAACTGGGACTTGGAGCTGAACAGGGGCTGGGCCGGGACCACGACGGGGCTGGGGGGGGCTGAGCCGGGGCCGGGCAGGTGCCGGGGCTGGGAGGGACAGGGGGTGGACAGGTATCGTTACCGGGGGGTGCGCAGGTGCCGTTACTGGGAGTACCGGTTCTGTCTGAACTGGTACCGGTCCCGGTGGTCCCGGCGGTGTCTGAGCCGGTACCGGGGCCAGGCAGACACCGGTCCCGGTGGTCCTGGTAGTGGGCAGGTCGCGGTACCGATGGTGTCTGAGCCGGTCCAGGGGTGTTCCGGTGGTCCCGCCGGTATCTGAGCCGCTCCCGGTGATCCCGGCGGTCCCGGCGGTGTCTGTGCCGCTCCCGGCCGTCCCTGCCCGTCTCCCTCCCCTCCCTCACCGCCCCTCTCCGCTGCCCTCCCGCAGCCCCGCCATGCCTCCGCCGTGCCCGGCGCTGCCCCGCGCTGCCCCCGCGATGCCTCCCGCTGCCCGCGCGTCCCGGCCCGGCGCCGCCGCCGCGTCCCGGTGAGGTTTATCCCCCCCGGTGAGGCGATGCTGCGGCGGCTGCTGGAGCGGCCGTGCTCGCTGGCGCTGCTGGTCGGCTGCCAGTTCGCCTTCGTCGCCTACTTCTCGCTCGGCGGGTTTCGCAACCTCACGGCGCTTTTCGGCCGCGGGGCCGGGCCCAGCTTCGACTATTCCCGCACCCGCGACGTCTACGAGAACCTGAGCCGGCTCCTGCCCCCCCGGCCCCCGCCGCCAGACCCCGCCAGACCCCTCCCGTACTGCCCCGAGAGATCGCCCTTCCTCGGTGAGGGGGGGAACGGGGGGATTAGGGAGGGGGAATGAGGGGGAAATGGGAGGGAAAGTGGGGTTTGGGGGGGGGGAATGAGGATTTGGGGGGCTGGGGAGGGGAAAACAAGGGGTTTGGGGGATCCCCGAGGGGAGAAATGAGGAGTTTGGAGGGAAAACGGGGGGTTTTTGGGGGTAAATGGGGGGTTTGGGGGATCCCCGAGGGGAGAAATGGGGGGGTTGGGACGGAGGGGACACAGCCTGGGGGTCCCCAGTTTGGGATTGGGGGGAGGACACACCCCCAGGACCCCCCAGTTTAGGACTGGGGGGGGGTAAATCCCAGGGCTCTCCTGATTTGGGAGTGGGGAGGGTCACACCCCAAGAACCCCCAATTTGGGGATTCCTGAGGGTCCCTCTCGATTTGGGGTGAGGTGAGGACAAACCTCTGGGGCCTTCCACTTTGAGATGGGGGGGGACACACTCCCAAAACCCCTCTGCTTTGGGATGGGGCAGGGGACACACCCCCAGGACCCCCCAGTTTGGGATTGGGGCAGGAACACACTCCCAGGACCCCCCAGTTTGGGATTGGGGGGGGACACACCCCCAGGACCCCCTGGTTTGGGACTGGAGGGGACAAATCCTGGGCCCCTCCACTTTGAGATGGGGAGGAGACACTCCCAAAACCCCCCTGGTTTAGGATTGGTTGAGGGACACACCCCCAGGACCCTCTGATTTGGGACTAGGGGGGGACACACCCCCAGGACCCCCCAGTTTGGAATTGGGGCAGGAACACACTCCCAGGACCCCCCAGTTTGGGACTGGGGGGGACAAATCATGGGCCCCTCCACTTTGAGATGGGGAGGGACACACTCCCAAAACCCCCCTGGTTTGGGACAGAGGGGACAAATCCCGGGGCTCCCCTGATTTGGGGTTGGGGGGGGACACACCTGGGGGGACAAGCTCCTGGGAGTCCCCCTCGATTTCGGGTACCCCTGGGCCCCTCCACTTTGAGATGGGGGGGAAGACACTCCCAAAACCCCCCTGGTTTGGGATTGGGTGAGGGACACACCCCCAGGACCCCCTGATTTGGGATTGGGGGGAGACACACCCTCAAGACCCCCTGATTTGGGACTAGGGGGGGACACACCCCCAGGACCCCCCAGTTTGGGACTGGGGGGGACAAATCCACTTTGAGATGGGGAGGGACACATTCCCAAAACCCCCCTGGTTTAGGATTTTGGGGACACCCACCTCCCCTGGCCCCCCTGCTTTGAGACTGGGGGGGGCGGGCAACCCCAATTCGGGGTCCTTTATCCCCCCCAGCCCCACGTACCCCCCTTTACTCCCCTCTTCCCCCCCTGCAGTGGGTCCCCTGACTGTGACCTTCGCCCGGGTGCCGTCCCTGGAGCTCATCAGGGCCAAGAACCCGGGGGTGGGGCCGGGGGGTCGGTACCGACCCCCCCTGTGCGAGGCCCGGTCCCGCACGGCCGTCATCGTCCCCCACCGCAACCGGGAGAGCCACCTGGGCCACCTCCTCTACTACCTGCACCCCTTCCTGCAGCGCCAGCAGCTCCACTACGGCATCTACGTCGTGCACCAGGTCCGGGGGGGGGTTTTTGGGGGGGTCTTGGGCGTCCCAGACCCTTTTTCCAGACCCCTGTGGGATGGGAGTTGTGCGTGCGACAGGGTGGAGATGCTGAATGTGGGGGTGAAGGGGGGATGAAGAGGGGTTTGGGAGGCCCCAGAGGGGCTTGGGGCAGTTTGGAGGGTCCCCACGGAGGGTTTTGGGGGTCCCCAGAGGGGCCTGAGGATGTTTGGGGGCTCCTGGGGTCCCAGACCCTTTTTCCAGACCCTTTTTTCAGATGCCTGCGGGATGGGAGTTGTGTGTGATGAAACAGAGATGCTGAATGTGGGGGTAAAGAGGGGATGAAGAGGGGTTTGGGAGGCCTCAGATGGGGGTGAAGAGGGAGTTCAGGGGGGTTTAGGGGTCCCCAGAGGGATTTGGGGGGTCCCAGGGGTCCCAGACCCTTTTTCCAGAGCTCTGCGGGATGGGAGTTGCGTGTGTGATGGAGTGGAGATGCTGAATGTGGGGGTCCCCAGAGGGGCTTGGGGCAGTTTGGAGGGTCCCCACAGAGGGTTTTGGGGGTCCCCAGAGGGGCCTGGGGATGTTTGGGGAGTCCTGGGGGTCCCAGACCCTCTTTCCAGGCCCCCCCTGGGCCGGGAGTTGTGGGTGGAGATGCCCGATGTGGGGGTGAAAGGGGAGCTCAGGGGAGCTTAGGGGTCCCCAGAGGGGCTTGGAGAGGTTTGGAGGATCCCCAGGGGGAGCTCTGGGGGGTCTCCAGAGGGGCTTAGGGAGGTTTG